CCTGCTGAAAAGAAAGACAGGTCTCCAGAATAGGTGGAGGCGGAGGGGAATGTGGGTGTGTTATTGGCTCTGCTTATCAGGTGTCAGGATGATAGATCCTGCCTTCACAGCTTCCTAACTGGTGACTTTGTACGAGTTATTCACACAAGTTACTGTGTGAGAGACCTGCAAGGAGATGTCATAGAGAACAAATCAGTGTGTGAGGACTGAGTGCCAGTCCTGCTTTCTGATTTCTGCTTCTCTATGGCCCTTTGATCGACCTAAATCACTTTACTTCTCTGGGTCTTTATCTGTTCAGCTACAAGGATCTAGATCTTTAATATTTATTGTCACCTGATTCTGGGCACTAAAAGTTTTTACACGTGTTAACTCATTTCATCTCAGTGACAACCTTAGAAGGTGGCTTCTATCATTATTCCATTTTAGATGAGGAAAAAGAGACAAACTGAGTAACTTGTACAACATCACCAGTTACGGAGATGCGCAGGCAGGATTCTACCCCCGCAGTCTGGCTGCAGAGTCACTGGGGGCATTGTCTCTCTTTCCTCTTCCAGCTACAACACTGTGCCCTGTGCACAGGAGGAGCTCAGACTGGGTTTGTTGAGCAGTGACAGGCACAGGCAGCTTACAGTCGTCAAGTGACTCATGTCTCGGCCTTAAATGGAACCATGAAGGCTACATTAAAAAAAAGTTCTTTCTCTTTGCCTTTGCTAAAATAGTGTGTGCTTTTCAATGGAATTTTTTTTTTGAGAGTTTTTTTTTTTTTTTTTTTTTTGTATAGGGCACATATGCTCACCAGAAAGACAGAAAGAGACAGAGAGACAGAAAGGGAGAAATCACCCCCCAGGGGGTATGGCCACACTGCAATCCCTTCTCCTCCATTCTCCTCTTGGGATCTTGGGCATGCACGCACACACGCCCAGCATGAATTTAAGCCACTGTGTTCAGGATTTGAACCGCGGTCAACTACATGGAAGTCCAGCAATGTAGCCATTACACCAACTGCTGGTCCCGCTTTTCAGTGGAATCCTGCCAAGCTGGTCAGGGAAAAGGAAAACAGTATAAAGATCACAGGACTGGGTGAACATGGTTATTTCCAGATAATGTGTTTATCAGTGTGAGAAATCCAGAAAAATCACAGAACACTTTGCACTGAGTCAGATCTGTCAAATAAGTCAACCAGTACCCAACCCACAAGTATTTACTGTGTGGGTGCCATGTGCCTAGTACTGCAGGCATGGAGGAAGGAAGAATCTAAGACATGGTATTCAAGATTGAATTTACTGTGGATCTGGAGGCTCAAGATTAATAAGCACAAAAGAAGACAATACAAGATGCTATTTGACTCAGTCACATTTGTATGGCCTATTGTAGTTTGTATAAACTTCCACAGGAGTTATCTCACTTCAGTCCTTATAAAGACTGAGCATTATAACTGATAGGTAGGACGGGTTTGGAAGCACATGTTGCTGATGAAGAAAATAAAGCAAAGCGAGCCTTTGTCTGAGACATAGCTGGGATTTCCTGACTCCAAGTCCAGCATCTTTCTGTCTTACTTTTATCTGGTGCTGAGGGATGAAACAAGATTACGGTGAGATTGCAGGAGTTGTTAGAAGTTGCTCATTTGAATTTTATCCTGAAACTGGCTTTTGCTTTCTGGTCTTGACTATGCAGAGTGCTAGGTGGGACAAGAGGAAGAGAGTAAATGGGAGCAAAGAAAGAGGAGAAGAAGAGTTTTTATTTTATTTATTTATTTTTATTATTTTCTTTTTCCAGAAACCTGCTACTATGGGGGACATGGAGTGACTATCCAATTATGATGAACACAATAACAATGTTTAGAATGTGCAGTAAAATGTAGAAGCTGATGCAAAATTCTTGTCCTTGTCTTTATCGTTTTTCTACATTAACTTTTGGAACTTTGCAGCACACACACATTATACAAATAACTGTATTTAATATGCTAAAATAGTTACCACACTAGGTTGTAGA